TGCGTTTGCTCTATGGAAAATGTTGAAGAAATTGGATTATTAGGAGGGGGGGGGGGGGGGGTCATCCACAGTCTACCGCCCAGCAAGGCATGAATGATTTGATTAGAGATCTGCCAGAACTACTTTTGATTCAGGCAAAAACAAATGCTTCAGAACTGATTGTAATTTTCTCCAAAAAATTATGGCAACAAGGAGGAGCAGTGGCCTAGTTTATTTTTCCAAATGTGAATATGCAGAAATGAAAATGACCTTTTTGCTTAATCCAATCACAAAGGGCATTCCTGTCTATTTGAAATGAGTTTGCAGATGAGTTATCAGGATCTTAGCAGACGATATAGTATAGGAATTGGTTTCCTGATTCTGCATTGTCTGCAATTGTGCTAAGTTCGTAAGAAATTGTAGAGATATTTATTTCTATTAGAAAGATTTTGTCCTTTTGTGTAATTTTGCTGCCCGTTTTCTTTAAACAAGACGTGAGTTTGCTCCTTCCCAATTCCAAATGTAAATTAATCCATTAAAGCATGTGCTGCTTTAAGTGGTGAATTTAAACAGCAACAAGTCAAAAGGCTTACCCCTCGATTGAATTAATGGGGAGAGTGAGTGTAGAGATGTATAGGGCCGAAGTGCTTCAGTTGACCACATTAATGCTATAGCATCCCGCTGCATTATTCATGCTGCCCTCATCCTGACATCTGAGAAAGGCAGTGAGGAGCAAAAAAACAACCAGTCACTCTATGAGTAACGTATATACTGTGTCTCATAAAAATTGCAATAAAGTGGTTAAAAGGAACAGAGATTACCCATATCTGAAAGACAGAACGAATGCTTTTACAAAAATAATTAACTAATTGCATTTTATTTCAGTCTATATATATGCATTTTCATTTTTGTAGTTTGGATAATTCATGGAAATTATATGTAAGGAAAACAATTTCAGTAGTTCCTGTGGTACATTCTTCATTATGAATGTAGCTGCAAATTGGCAGTATAAAAAAAATCTAAAGAAATATTGATTATAAAGAAGTCAACATAGTGTCGATCTGGAGGTGGTAAAAGGGGGCAAGTGCCACCCTTTTAAATTTGAAATCAACTTTGTATTTTAAAGAGTTTTTCATTACAATTAGTACATTTGCACCCTCCCCACTCATGGAGATGGTTTATGCCCCTCGTCACAACATATTTTATGAGGAAATCAGTCTGATGCCAGACATGGCATTCAATACTGTGGATCAATACAGTAGGGCACATTCAGAAAACACAAGAGCACATCAGGACATCGTCACAGAGATATCCTTAGTAGGTCCATGGTTTGAGGCACCCAAGGTTTCGGCCGGCCTTGCTTCATCAGTTTCGCTTATGATCTTTAGGTCTCCAGAGAGGTAATTTGATTTGAGTAGAAACTCAGAAAGGTTAATTATTTTCTATCTTCTATCAATTGCCAAGCAAACTACTTATCTATTTCCAGAACTGTGAGGTATTTTGAATACAAACACCACTTATTTGTTTCCCCATCACTTACTAATTACCAAATTGTATAATAATATAAAGACAATTATGGTAATTTCCTTTCCTATTATAGTGACTGAGCAGTGGCCATAATCAATACATTCTTTGGGCTCCTCACTATCACTTTGAACAGGATCACCAAACCTCAGATCAAAACCTTTAGGGTCTGTATAAATTAGCCCCCTATTTTTTTATTTTTTTTGGGGGGGGGGGGGAGGGGGGGGGGGGGGGGGGGGGGGGGGGGGGGGGGGTTTAAAATCTAATTGCCTGTAATAATTCACCAGACTCTCTGTAAGTGTCAGCTCAGAATGTACCAAACTACCACACATTTGAAAGGACATCCCACATGCAAGTCAAAGTAGGGACTCACTCTCTACCTCAAGTCCACTCGCTCGCTGTTTTCCTCAACTCAAAAGCCTTCTCGGACTTGACCCCTGGTCTGACCTGAGACTGCACATCATAGCTTGATAGCAACTGCCTTGTCAGTTACAGACCTGCAGAATGTTTTCTTCTTTCTTTCCCTCTTGATATACTGCTTGACAGAACTGTTGCGGCTTTGGTGAGATGTCATGTGTTAGCGTGTAAACATGTGCAAGGGCAGATTGGAATCCAAGTGGAAAGTTTGTTTTTCTCTGTCCACCCCTTGAAAGTAAAATGTAGTAATTCAGAAAATGTGTTTATACTTGATGCATCTGGATATTTTGAGAGTGTGAAACTGAAATAAGTTTCTGTTCCCTCATAAAAACAGCATCTTACCTATTGATTTGAAGGTGGAAGATTTAAAATCATTTATCTATCAGTTTCAATAAAGTGACACATAGAGGAGAGGAGGCTGATATCATGTCAGAGCCGTTCTCTCTCTGGCCCTAAAATAACAACAAATTGCATGTTAGGCTTTGCTGCAGGTGAGAAATAAGCCAAGTTTTGTGTTTTGTACTTTCATTCTTTTATTAAAGAGTCATTACAAAAAAAAATTGCTGAAAAGCAACTCTATTTTGACTAAATTTGAAATACTAAACTGTTCAAGAACCAAAGAGAAGCCTGAGATTGCATATACCTTCTCGGAACCTGTCTGACATTTTTAAACAGAAAATGACCTTTCACCTTTGATGATATCTTCCCAGGCAATCATCTATAATTTATCTTCGGAATTGATGGATCAGAATTCACAAACGAGAGAGTAACATTTATACCCCCCCGCCCTTTTTTCTACCCATAAATGTATCAAAGCTTGTTGAACATGAAGACTTATGTGCATACTGGGATATCTTGATTATTGCTCTCAACGTTTTCTTTTTTTCATCTTCCTTGAGAAAGGAAAATTTGCACCGAAGTTGTGATGTGCTACAGTGCGATCAAAGAGCAACTAGATAAAATCAGTATACTATTCATCAATACCCGCTCAGTCTTCCTTTCTTTTATCAATCCTTCCCTGAAGCAATGATTACCCTAAACATACTCTAGCTTTGACAAATCAATTCAAACAAGTCTCAGCTCTCAATCGGTAATCTTCGTCCTCTTAGCACGTCTTCCTGGCGACAGTATCAAAAGCCCAGTTTAGTCTGCTTTCCAGTCCATTCATCAGTTACTTTTATAATATCTGTCAAACTTTTTATTTATTACTGATATCTTGATAGTAAGAATAATACTAGTGATCATACACAGACCCATTTCAATGAGCACATTCAGTTCAATAAAAGGTTTATTATGTGAACAAGCAAATGCAAGTAATGATTTACAAAAATACTGGGGTACGTGTCAATGATTTTGAACTACCGGTCATCTTGAAATGGTAATGAAATTAATTGCTTTTATGAATAATAGCTAGAAATTCAAAGGAATCCAAACCTTTTTATCATCTATATAATCTTATGTATTATTATTTATTTATTTTGACTGATTGGTCCATGTTTTTTCCCCAGAATATGATTATCATTTTTAACAAGGTAGTATTAATTATGGTAACTCATTTTCCCACAAAAATACTCTGTTCCTGTATCTATCTCTTTGAGAATTATGACATGAATGTATTACTGCATTTGTTGTTGTTGTCGTCTTTCTTTTTTTCTTTCAAAATCTACACTTATTCGATGAGCGGGTATGAAATGTAGTTTCTTGTTGAAGGCAATATTGTGATTGTGCACTTAAAGCAATTATTTCCTGTGGGATAAGTGATTTCTGACAAGTCTTAGGGCAGTTAAAACCCTTTTGTGTAGAGGAATGTATTTGTTCAAAACACGATCCATTTCTCTCATTTCTAGCGCTATCCTTCCCTTGTCCTTCTCAGAGGTGCCCTGTGGGAAAAGGAGAGATTGAATTTAACTTCTGCTTATTCAGGTTGATCATGTACATTAGCCAAAGGTTGATCTGCGAATGGATGTTTGCTCAATGTTTTTACTTATGACCTGCTTTCTGGTGGCTTTCTTACAAGTACAGTAGGATTAGAAATACTCCTTTTTCCAGAGCTGACTGAACATAATTGTGCAATCTTCGATTGCTGTTTTGTCGAGCAGTGTTGATCAAACATGGCTTTATATACTCCATTGACTGTGTTAACCCCTTTCTTCCCATAGATCTACATCTTTTACAATCACTAGTCATCAGAACTCAATTCAGATTGTAGATTAGAGGCCTACAATGCTTGGGCAACAACTGTTTTAAGGTATATTTCTTGTCTAATTTCTCGTCTAGTTTCTCATTGAATTCACAATTCCGAATTCAGCCCTGGATCCAACATCTACTATATTTGTAGATGAATATACCTACTTAGATCTACTCCTAACCGAAAGCCTAACTTAAAGCTGTTACTGAAGCCATAACACTTTCTCTGCCAAAGAGAAACCGATGGCCATAGGACCACCCTCTTTTTGCAATGAATAGGCTTCAATCTTCGATTTAAATCAGTGCAGTGATATGGTTTTGGTCCCATCTAATGTTGTTTATGTACACTCGCTCTACTATTAGGCCACCTCAGTAGTAAGTTGCTTGCACCCATTTCAATATGCCATTGTTATTTTGGACTGGTGTAAAAGAATTAAAGGACTTGGTCCAGTGAATGGTAGGGTTTCCTTTGATGCCTGGTTCCATTGTTGGTGTCCATTATTTGACCAACTCCTCAAAGTGGGCTTTTCTTAAAGTCATCCTATTCTTAGAGTCATCCCCAATGTAAGCCAAAGAAGTGGTCCAAATGACAAGATTTGTTGTTGAATAACCTTCATTAGATCCGAACTTCTTATACCTTCCAAGTTGTCATTATTAACCCTGTAAATGTCGGTCCATCAGTTATACCAACTACATGTTTGTTGCCAGCAGTTTTTAATTCCACTTTGGATCACCCAGCCCTAGTTCTATCCATAGAATTTGACCCACTTCAGAAAGAAAGCTTTCTTTGAAAGTTAAAGGGAAAGGTACTTGTCAATTGAACAATAGCTTGTTGGTGTATTCATTGATTTGGGGGTGGGTGATTTGCTATTCATGCCCAAGTGCAGGCTTTCCAAGGCTTTCTGTGTTGCAGGATACTGCATATAGATCTAGGCCTCCACAGTGAACTAGCCTTCAGGCCTAAACTGACAAGAAGGCCTACATTTTGCAAAGTTTTCAGTGTGTCCTAAGCTACCCATCTTCCTTGGTTGTTGCAACTTACTACATCTTCAATCAAACTTGGAAAGTACTTTTTGTGACATCTTCTTCACAAAATATTGTGTAAGATCCACTTCTCAGTTGGAAAGCGAATCACCCTTAGATGATCAAAGTGCAATGTTGTTGTTTTCTATAGCTCAAGTTTTGCTATAGAGTTTCATTGAAAGCATCACTTTTGATTATGAATGGAAAGTAACATTTATAACTCCAATTCATTTGCAAACATTTGGGAAACAATCAAGGTTCAAGGAATCACTCAAGGAATTACCCTGCATGGGAAAAAAGAAATGTCTTTGCAAACTGGAATTCTTGCTGGAAGTATGTGAAAGTGGTCTACATGAAATAGACATGGAGTGACTGTGTACTCCTCAAGTGTGAATCCTAAGGTTTTTTCATCATACATATCAGAAGATTATCATCATACATGCCGACTGGAGTGTTACAAGCGCATCGTACAGTAAAGTGAACCGGATGATGTCAAATAGTCACAGATTTACATAATAATTCAAGTACAACTTTGTGGCTTCTCGTGTGTCTTTGTGGGAACAAATTATTATGGACTCCTTCAGAGGCAATTTAAGAACCTTCCCGTCACAACTGTTCTGTTGAACAGTACCAAAGTTGTCTGGACTATGAAAGAGATTGATAATCTAGCATCTTGAGGGTTCATGGTTGTTCTAGTGGTTATTTTTCTGTGACATTTGACTTCCACCAGACTGTTTATCACAACATTTTGAATTCAGAGAAGAAGATGTTTACAAGAAGTAAAGAACATTTTGCTCTGAAGAGTAAACGTAAGTTTGGAATATTTTGAAGTAGAGAATTATTTGCTTCTCAAGAAAAAGGTGACTCACCAACTATGAGTGTATGATCACAGAGACCTCGTCTGAATATATGCTAGAAAACCCCAATCTTATTTTCTAGCCGAAGTGTGAATTTTACAGGAGGTGTTCCAAGTCTCTGCTAAAGAGAGTACCATTTACTTTTCTCTGTCATTGTGTGACTTTCACATATCAATGCTAATATGGCGACAATTACATGATAGTTCTATCAGTTATGTAAGTAGTGCAAGGAGATTCTAAAGATTGTAAGTATAAAGGAGGTTTGGTTTCTAGTTTGGTTCATACACAGTCCCATTAACTTGATTTAGTCAGGAGAGACAGAACAATATCCTGTGTTAATGTTTGAAGACATCACTTCAGTTCAAACAAAGATCTGTTTGCTGTAAGCATTAACACTTTGGCTTGGGACAGCTAGTTGCTGTCACCACCGTGTTCACACAGCCACAAATTAATTGACCTGAGAATGTTTTTACCGGTAATCATGAAAAATATTAAGGGAAAATGCCTTTAATTAACCTGTTTAGATGTAATGGTACGTTATCGTTGGAAATAAAAAGAAACTGGTAAATTGATTTTCAATCCCCGCAAAATATATGATAAATATCTGGCAGTTTCAGCTTTAAGCTTGCATTGTTTGTAATAATGGACTTTGAAGAAAAAAAGACCCTGCGTATATTTCTATTGTTAGTGCCATAATAATCAACTTATTTGATTGTTGGCATGAAAAGAAAGACATTGAAGAAAAAAAATTGTTGTTTGTTTTGCTAACATCTGTGTGCCTAAATTAATGGCTAATATAAGAGTATCCCAAGCACTCCATGACAGAGTGGGAAAGATCTTTGTTTGCCTATGATGTTTGATCTTGGTGTGGAAACTGTTTTCTAAGAAGTTGATGGGAACACATTGCCAGTACTCTAGAAGTGCTGTGATAATGCCATTTACACTACTTGAACTTTGCTTTTATAAACTTCCTGCTCCTGCAATTTGTTTTTTTCTCCCTCAAGAATGTCAAGACATTACATTATTCTGCATATGTCTCTCTCATTCCACCCCTCATTTTTGCTCTCTTTCTCTCTTCTTTTCTGTTTCTCTGTTCCCCCAATCTCCGCCTCCCCAAAATATGTATCCCCTTTCCTCTCTCCATTCATTTTCTCTCTTTATGTCTGTCTCCCCTTCCTCCTATAAATGCAAAAGTAGGGTTGGATAAAGTTTTTTAAAGCTTCATAACTGAAAATTTGCATATTTGTATATGCCTTTGAGTCATAAAGTGACTTAATTTCATGAATGGCATACATAAATACAATGTTTTAAATTGACAAATTTGTATAATATTAAGATTCAGATTTTACAATTTTCTGCATTTGTGAGATTGTATGGCTCTTTAAATGAATTGGGCCTATAACTTGTCAGCAAAACATTTCTGGAATGCTGGAATCTCGTTATATGACAACTTAGCTAAAAGTGAGAGTAATGCAACTTGTACTGCTTGGAATAAACTTGCTAGATAAATAGGTACTAGGTATTAATTGTAATGTTTTTCCCTCTCTATTTTGTTTTTGGTACTCTTTCTTCCATCACAGATCCGTGCAATGACCTAGGAGCTGAGCTATCCAGGGTAGTAGGAGAGCTAGAATGTGCAATGGAGGGGCGCAAGGTCGGGGATGTCTTTCGCAAGCACATAGAGTCTGCTGAGCATGAGGTGGAGAAACTCACTGAGGCATCCGAAGACATCAAACAGAGAACATTACAGGTCAGTCAGAAACTTAGGGTTGGTACACTTTAAGAGCAAAATGATGAATCCTTAATAGCACACATGAAAAATAATTCTAGAAAACTGGATCGTTACGGTCTTATGAAAGCCAGAAAGGCATAAATTACTAGACAGGGCTACTAGTCTATGCTCTCCTGGCTTTCAATCAGCTGTTGATGTTAAAAGAACTAATACAACTATGAGAAATGAAAAAAAATTGACAATTCTCCCAATTATGGGAATTAAATCAATTTTCAAATGTAATTTAAATAATTAAAAAAAATGATATCTCCCTCCTTTATAATACTAATCAAAGTTAAATTGGAGACAATTAAAATGCTTGTAGTCATATATCGATAGCATCCTTTCAGAAGGGAAGTCTGACTTTTTCACTCTGATTTATTTACATACCAGACAGACAATAAAAAGCAATGATCAAAATACAAATACTGGTTGATTAGAGCCTTGGTTAAAGCATGAATTAGAGGCATACCATAGCATCCGGATGGATTGATTCTATTCATACGGGGCCGACCCTTTACTGATAGCTACTCGTCATTGCAACTGTTGGTGGTATATGTATATGTAGAAATATAATTATATTTATATAGTGATGAAAGGGACTGCCACTACAAAGGTTGTCCACTGCATACCTACCATAACAAGACCATTAGACTTGTTTTGTGACTGATTGGGTGAAGAGAAAGAAGCAAACAGTGAGGTCAGGTCTGTTCTCATTATCAAAAATAGCCCTGCTAATTCATATCACAATATTCATAACTAGATAATAATAATAAAAACAATGCATATAAAGCATTTACCACCAAAGTTTCTAGCCTGGGTTTTGAATAAAGTTTTATTTCTAATTTGGGGAAGTTCTCAAGCAAATGCGAAGATCATCATTATAAGATGCAAATAGTGTGTTTTTCACACTTGTGTGCGATATTAGTTGAGAAATCTGGCTTTTTCTTTCAGTATTCTCCACTATTTGGCTAAATAGCCCACTTAATGAGCACTGAAGCTTAAGAAAGGCTTAATTAGCAAGGATGGCTCCATTCATGCTGGCGAGAGAGGCAACTTGCAGCATGTCCACACACAAAACAATTTATCCCGAAACTCTATAACGAAACGTCGTATAAAGAATCATTGTATAAATTTCAGAGTGTCCACACACAAGAAGCGTTGTATAAATAATCATTGTATAAATTTCAGGATGTCCACCCTCAGAAGAAAGTAATCCTGAAACTCTACAGCGAAATGTCGTATAGGTGCGCAGTTTGCTACTGCGGTCATGAAATGGAAGCGGAAATGAGAGGTCTGGTCTCCTTTCGCTCCAGGTCACGTTAAGCCCCGCCCAGATAGTTACACTAGTTACACTCCCCCTGTCCACACACAACATTTTCCGTGATTAGGCATGATTAGGCGTGATTAGTTATTGAGTTTCAGTTCGAAACGATGCCCAAACCTGCGTTTCGTTAGACTAGTTTCGTTATAGGACGTATCGTTAGTGAGCGTCCACACACACGATTTCATCGTAAAACTATGGCGAAACGGTATCACTATCGCGATACGGTATAGCTAATCACGCCTAATCACGTAAAATGTTGTGTGTGGACAGGGGGTTCATACTTTGACATTTTTGTCTCTGGAAACGTTGCTCAGCTCAGTTGTATATATACATCTCGAGCTCGAGTTTGTTCAGGCTAATGGAAATGTACCTGCATGGTCTTGATTCATCGTGTGTATTGACCTCTAGCTAATGGTCACCAATTAAGCCAGATTGTCTGGACACAGAGGTGCCACAAGTGACCATTAAGTTTATTGATGGCTTGCTGATGTTTTGACCGTGTAAGGCCAATCCAATAAAAGTGTATACATTTGTTTGGCTGGCGTTGTGGCATCACTGAAACCTCTTTGGGGTTTGAGTGAATGTAAATAGATTCATCTTCCTCTCTTTACGTTAGCTATCATCTGATCCCATTAGCATCACTGCAATCCTAAAACCATCTAATTATATCCATTTAATACACAAAACGGAAGTCGAGTACCAGTAAAGGTATGAGAATTTAACGATGGAAACATGTTTAGAGTTGGTATATTAGTAAACTTTTATTGAGTTAACAATAGAGAAAAATAATTGAAAGAATCATAGCAATCATCTATGGTATTTAATAGCATGATATCAAGAATACCCATAAGCTGTTTTTTCTGTCACATCTAAAGAATGCCATAAAGTTGTTTATAATAGATATGCACATATTGAACAAAAACATGTGATGTACAGAAGGGTGCAAAAACACAATTTGTGAGATTTTTCCATATTTTGAGGTCTCAAGGTCAAAGAATGGTCTTAACTGTGAAATGATTACTCGTAAAAATGTACATTTATTGGCTGTATATTTATTTGTATCCTGCTACTAGTCAGCACACAATCGTTTGTTAACCCATTGAGTACGGGAACCGAGTCGGTTCTCTGTAAAGTCCATGGGAATACAAGAATTCAGTAGTCAGTGGGTTAAGATATGTGCAGATACTTTCAGAATAGTTAATGGTTGAAAGAAGGGGGCATCCTAGTCAGTCCCCATATTATGTGCTGAGAGCTAGAAGGGCATTAGTTCATATACTCTGACACAGATCTAATGCCCTTCTCACTCTCAACATACAATATCACTTTGACCTTTGACACACCCTCCAATGAATTTCCCATATCATGCTGAATATTCTACTCTATTCCCACAGGCTGTGCAAGAGGTGGAGAGCCTGGACCTGGACAGCATCGAAGCCCAGTCACCCCAGAGCCACCGGACGACGCCCAACGGTCACTTCAGCGGTCACCACCAGCTCCACCTGGAGACCAGGAGACGGAGCTCCCTGGAGCAGGAGGTGACTCTTCTCCGGGACGAGAACGAGACGCTCAACTCATCACTGAGCATGAAAGAGGAGGAGATGCACAAGCTCAAGGCTAGCTTCATGGGTATCAGGGATGAGAGAGATAAACTCAGGAAAAAGGTGATGATCTATCTATATCTCTTTCTAAAGGTCAAATTGAATTCCGGTAATGAGAAATATCTGGGAAACTAACTTTATAAAGACACTATTATATACTTCCATTTAAATGAAAACATGCACAATATTTTGTTTCTAGTATGGATTAATGGAGACATTTTTTAGATGGACAGTCAGTCAGTTACTAATGATCTGTTGAAAGTATTAGTCTGTGAATCTCTCATGTATGTCTTTGTATGCCATTTGTATTCACAGGTAAATGACCAGTAATGTATTCATGTCAGATTATGATTGACCTCAGTGGGAATTTCATATCGGGGAAAGCAGAGTTATTACAGAAAAATAACAATTTAACATGCATATACATGTATATGTTTGATCTATTCCAGTTTCAATGACTGTAGCATTGTAAGAATGATCTCTTATTTAACTTTTTTTCCATTTCTTTGACCAGGTGAGAGAGCTTCAGAGCATCCTCCACGCCAACAACCAGAAACTGGGTGGCTACACCTCTTCGTCCTCTGCAGAACAACTCAACTCACCCAACCCCCGACACTCACCCCGTCACTCCCCCGGTCCTTCCCCCTCTCAGTCCGCCCAGAATGTCAACCCCAGCACTGGAGAGCTTAGTCTGACCGGTAGTGATCGCAGGACGGACATCCCAGTGGCCAAAGTGGCCGAGAGGGTCAGGTTAAAGCAATCCAGATCAGCCAGTAGCAGTAGCAGGAGTAGCAGTGACCGCTGTGTCCTGGGCTCGGACATCAGCAGTATAGGGGTGAGGTTTATCTTACTTCTCAATTTTAAAAAGGAAGAAATTTTTGATTTTCTTTCTCTGATGATAAACAGGCTAGACACTTAATGGGTTAAATATCACTTGGCGGATCAATTGAGCATCATATTGACAAAGCTTTTTGTATGAATACAGAGATTTTGAAGGGGAAAAAAAAGTCATACAAAATCTTAATTGTGATATTTTGGAATTTAGTGACATGGGGAGGGATGAAGAAGGTGTGTATGGCAAGTGTACCACTTGATGGGGAACATCAATAAAATGTTTTACTTCTAATATTTGAAAGTAGAATACCTACAATTCTAAAGTAATGGCTTTATTAATACCTCACTGATGGTCATTAATTTTTACAAATCAATATACTTGGACACCCAACTTGATTTGTCAATGAACAATTGGAAGTGTACTAGAGACAATGATTTGTGAGTTGCATGAATCACAAAGTATCAATAACTTTTCCTTAGCAGCACTCTGATTAAGATTGTATTTTGCCCATAATTCCTATCTCAAATACAGATCACGAATCCCAAGGTAGCTGAGCACCTAGCCCAGACCTTACAATCCTGCTCCAGTATGCAAGAGATTCTCCAGACCCTCTCATCCTACGGTCTTTCCATCCCAGAGCACAAGGCCCGCGAGATCGAGGTCGACCTGGAGAGACTTACCAGTAAAATTGAACACTTGCGGTGCCAGAACGATGTCCTGCAACTCTCGCTGGAAGAGAGCAAGTCCAACGCTGACCGGCTGACCATGTTGGTGGGCAAGTACGAGTCGAACAACACGGCGTTGCAGTTGGCGGTCAACTACAGCGAGCAGACCATTGAGGCCCAGGAGGTTGTGCTGGCATTGAAGGAGAGTGAACAGTCGGTGCTTCTGGCCAACTGCAAGGCCGCAGGAGTTGGACTAGGTACGGTTTGGAAGTCTGGGAAAGGGTTCTCTGACATTTGCTCAAGCGACAATTACTCAGAGCTTTATGTAAAGAAAGATACAAGGCTTGGGTTGCCATTGGGCTTTAGGTGAGGTGTAGGGTTTGGTATACTAGTGTTTGGTCCAGGGATGAAGTTAAGAATTTGGTCAGGGTAGGTTGTCGCCTGAGCATGTGTCGTACAACCCTCCGGAAGGGGTTATGGAGAAGGCCTTGTCTAATGAAAAGAAGTTGTAATTAATAATATACATTTACCAATTATATCATTTGCATATTAACATTGATAGTTTGAAGGTTAAACCATAAAGTAAATATTTAATGACACTTTTGTTTAAAGGTTCGGGTTCCCGCCAAAAATATATCTCCCAACTTGTTCCCCCTATTAGCCAACCTTCCTAAATGTGGACACAATAAATTTTCGAGACAGTTGATTAACATCGCAGAGCTTTCTCTGCAGCATGAGACCTCTACGTTGGAATACTATGTCAAAAGAAAGCTTGCATCTCTGACCTCTGAAAGGGATTTGCTTATCAAACCGGATCATTAGAAGATTGGATTTGCATACCATTGTGTGGTTTACCTGAATGAATTAGCGTGTGGCACTCCCTACATGGCTGACCAACAAAACCAAAACATTAATGGATTAGTGATCAAGGATGTGGTCTACACAAAGGGAAGCACAAATGTGTGGAGGGATAATTGTCGATACACCAGCAGAACATTTAAGCTAGTAAAACAGCCACATTGATAAGTAAACCCAATTGTTCTCTATGTAGCTTTGCATTTACAAATGATTTTTTAATTTAAAATTGAAGAGAAAGTGGTTATTGGTTAGAGGCTTGTGAAAACATTAAAATACAGTTATCATATGATAACATAAGATGGATTAAGTACATGTAATAGTTACCAATCTATACATATATGCATGAAGCCATGCAAAGTTCTGTTTAGCCAACATATATGAAAATGAAGTCACAAATATGTTCAAAAATTTCTTATTCTGGTATCCTTAAACTCAACTTTAAAAACAATTTCTAAACACCAAATTTAGATTCCTAGAATATAATTAACAATTCAACCATTTTCATGACTATCTACATTTTTAATCATACCTTTTAAAGGGATTGGGTATCTTTGTCTCGGATTCTGAAACAAAATCCTGGATTTAGCTCATGCTGCAATGATAATTATAAACCTTTAGGTCAGTGAGGAACCCCATCACTTTTACAAGCCAATTGCCTGTCTGGTTATCAAGATATCAAGATATTTATGATCGGAAATCAAAATTTAATTTTTCGTTTTCCTAACGGTTTTTATAACACTACAGTCGATTGGGAAAAATGATTATGGTAAAACCAGTTACTCAAAGATTTTTACTTTTTCGAGGCACTTTATGATAATTTTGAAGCGCAATTTTGTTAAGGCTTCAATATTACACCATATCACAGACACTGATCACATGTAGGGTCATCCATCTCAGATTACACTTTGTTAAACGATGCCTTTAAATATTTTGTTATCCCTACAGAGAGCTCAGAAGGATCAGGTGAGGACTCGGAGGAGACGTCCTCGATGCTCAAACGTGTCCATGACAACCGGAAAGTATCAGAGAATGTTGCTAAGGCCTTGTTGCAGAGGTTAGACAGGAGCTGTGGTACGATGGTATGCCACGTACCACTACAACCATGGGAGGATCTCTCTTCACATAGCCATACAAGGTAATGTTTCACAGGCTGAAAAGGGATTAACTTTTTTAGATGAAAAAGCATTCAGTTTATCTCTTTGTTTTTTTTCTGAAATATAACACGGTAGAGCTTTGTTATAAAGAAATCATAACAAAGTAATTGTGCCAGTTTATATTTTGTTATCTTTCAGCCCTCTGTTTGTAGGTTTTACAGGGTAATTTCCTTGGCCCCAATTATCTTATAGTAATGAGAGTCTATTGTATTTGAGTATGTTGAATCGAACTATGGGTCATATTTTGAGTGGACCCCTCTGTTATTTTGGATCTGCAGTTCCAGTAGACTAAAATTAGGTTAAGTCATATTATTTGACAACAGGTTTACCTATAAAATGACCTCATGATCAGTCTCAGTGGTTTTGCTTCTATGTAAGGAATTACTAGTCTTCTTTGTACAATTTATTGATGAAAAAAAAAAAACCAGGAGAAATATGCATGATTTTTTTCTAGTATTAAGCTTTTTTGATAGTTCAGTGGGCTTGTTTTATATCAATGGGCATTATAGCAGGTGATCCGACATTTGTTCTGGCAAAGTTTTCTCTGGGCTTTAAATCAACAAAGACATGGGGTTAGCATTGCAATAGGGTTACATCTTGGGTTTAGGGTTATTGGTAGGTTTACAGTTCGAGTCAGGTTTAGGGATTTGGTCATTGTCACGGTTTGGAAAGAAGTAAGTTCCTAGGTTGAAATTGGTCCTTGAATAAAATTGAAACAAATTATTGCCAAAGCCTGTGTTGTAGAACCTGGTACGGTGAAACCTGTCTATAAATACCACCCAAGGGAGACAAGAAAAGAAGTCTTTATAGACAGGTGGTTTTTATGTACAGGTTCCTTCAGTACATGTTTCAATGAGAAACCATTTTCAAGGGAAACAAAAAATGTTGGCTGTGTAGACATGTGGTCTTTCTATACAGGTGGTCACTAAAGCAGGTCTGACTGTAACAAATTATATATTTGATTCAAAATCTACCCCTCACAGCACCACAAGTTCAACGGCAAGCAGCTGTGACACAGAGTTCTCAAGAGAGGACGAGCAGCGCCTCCGTGACTACATCCAGCAGCTGAAGAACGACAGGGCCGCCGTCAGGCTGACCGTGATGGAGCTAGAATCCGTCTATGTGGATCCCCTCAGCCAGGAGTCTACTCCCAGTGGTGACAGTCAGAGACTGGACCTGGAGAATGCAGTGCTCATGCAGGAGCTTACAGCACTCAAGGTGAGTGGAGGATGAAATGGGAGTCTGAGGTTGTGATGCAATCAGAGGAAGAAGTTATGGATGATTGTGGTTCTGTTTCTTGTTTGGACAGTGGTGGTGATAATGATCACATTGATGATAATAATGTTAATTTATTAAGCCGAAGATAATTTGGGCTGGACTCTATGGAAATTTGTAATATACCAGAATAATATCATTTTGATAGTAGCTTGCCATGGAGATAAAATGGTAGCATCCTAAGGAATTTGTTAAAAGTTGATATTTAAAAAAATACATACTGTTTGATTGGTTATTACACAATTATTATGAATTGTATTTGGTATGGTAACATAATAAGTCAAGATTAAAGAAATATGTTGATTATATTTCATTCAAAGCTACAATTTGTCAAAAACATGCACTTGTGGAACAGTCATGATTGTAAGAGTTATTCAACAATCATACCTTTTCTATCATTTTAATCTTTCATTAATCCTCTTTCTTTGCCTGAAATATTGTTGGGACTCCAGGAGGAGAAGGCGGAGCTAAAAGCACAGTACTACCTCCTGGACAAGGAGAAGAAGACCCTGGAGCTCAAGCTCAGCTCCAGGGAAGCCCAGGAGCAGGCATACAGGGTCCAGATTGACCATCTCAAATCAGAGGTCAAGGATTCTCTGAGCTCACCTTGGGAGGAGCAGCCATCGTCGCTAGGAAGGCATAGGATAGACGTCATGATGAGGAATGGAAAGGTGAAGGTCTCTTCTTAACTCGGTGGATTATTTATGAATGTTTGTCAATTACATTATAATGAAAGGATTATCATGCTTATTAAGTTGTTTCTGAATGTTTGTCAATTACATATAACAAAAGGTAGTTTTCAAATATTGCTCAAGATGTATGACAGTTGGTTCAAAATCTGATGTAAGAAAGCAAAGGATATTCATTTCAATAGTGACTTTTGTATAGAAAATTGAGAGGCACATCTTGATGGTGATTATACTATAAAAGCCAACATTATTCATGGTGATAACTAAACTGAAAACACATTGCTCGTTTTTTTTACGTAGAATTGTAAGGTTTGAGAGTTAAGAGGTGTGCATGGGAAGAGTAGAACAACATATGTATAGATTGGTAGGCCCTTCAGTTAGGATTAAAAATATAAAACAAATATAGAATTGGTATTAGAGAACAACTCATCTTAACAATGCCCCTTACATTAGTAAGGTATTAATTAAGAATAAGGTAAAACTCCTGAGAATTCCGCCGTTTTAATATGTCTACTTTTCTCATAATTCATCTTCAGGTGGAGATGGATCACCACTCAAGGCAGGGCTCGACCAGCAGCAGCGGTGGAGGACCAGGAGGCTGCGGGGGCGGTGGAGGAGGTTCTGGAGGCACCACCCCTGCCATCACTCTGGCTGAACTGAGCATGCTGGAGGACCCCTCCCTCCAGGTCAACGCCGCCGAGATGCTACGCAGGGAGAAACGTCTCAAGGCTCGCATCCAGGAACTGGTCCTGACCCTGGAGAAACTTCAGAAGAACTCTGAGATGAGACACCAACAGTCTGCAGAGTTTGTGGCTGATCTAAAGAGGGCTAATAGGTAAGACAAGATTTGAGAATCACACATTCACAGTGTAACAAAGAATGAAAGATAAAACATATCGTGTGCTGACTTCCAGAAGGAGTTCTAAGGTAGCTTTACAAAAGTTATTGTTGCCCCAAAATAAATATTTATATGATTGTGACAAAAACAGAAGGACACTAGGATATTGTGTTGGCATTGGCAGTTTGGCACCATTAGCACTCATCTATTTCCAAATGATTGATTGTATGCCCTTGCCTCAAAATAGGATTAGATGGAAATCCTTCGGATAAGTGAACATGACATTATTATCTTATTGACTTTGTCCACTGAGGACTAGAAGGATCAAAGTAGCCGCATGACTGACAGACCCTGGAGATCAATTGTAAAGTGAAGGATGTTTTTATAGCCCCATCTATGTGACATAAGAATATCTTTCAAGTAAACAGGATTTCATTTACAGTATAATACATCCCCACTTTGTGCATTTAGTTAATGCCCCTTTGCCTGTAAGTACATTATTTATTTGTTCATGGTTTTGTTATTCAAATACTTACCAATCTTTACTAAGTGTAGATCCTTTTTTTCTTTCTTATTCTGTAATGCATTTGACCTTCTTTGTATTGTGTATACTTTGGGGACTACGCCTTACAAGTTTTTTGCAAACTTTTTAGTAGTTTCCATTTGTCCTTAATCACACCTAAATCACTCACAACCGACAGAACCAAAAGTAATGCACAACCATCTTGGGACCTATCTGATTTTCTTTACCATTTGATCTAAAACCAACATCTTAAATTCGTTTTTAACTGATATGAAAACACCTACTCAAATATTTTCTTTGCTTACCAAGCTAAACTTGTGTATTTAACCTTCAAGTCAATTAGTATTTGTGTTACAAGTCCATGTCATATCAAAGAATCTATACTGAATTTGTTTGTTTAGCAAAGCTTATTTGTGTGCTCAACCTTGGGTATTATGGTCACATTCTGATAAAATTTGTACTTCACTCCTTACAATAACGTTTTCTATAAAGGGGCTTTAGTAATCTAGATATTGTGCTGGATTACGGTAGAGCATGCATTTATAAAGTTACAACGACATAAGAAATATGCATTGCGTACCTGTACTTGAAATTTGTTGAAGTAAATGTATTAGATTTGTTATATTTCATGTTTTTTAATGAACAAAACCTATGATAGTCTAAATATATGAATCTTGTGTGACTGTACTAATGAACTAGTCATTTGATTACGATCTAGAAGTGAGTAAAATACTGTAATAATAGCAATGATTAAATTCTGTGTTTATATAGCACTCAATACATCAATTATGTTTCTATTAAAGCACTCTACAGATATATTAAGGGTACCCGAATATTGTTTTTGATTTCAGTGCTTTGGTGACAGCGTATGAGAAAGCCAAGAAGAAGCACCAGAGTAGGCTCAAGAAGTTAGAAGCGCAGATGATGGCCATGGTTGAGAGACACGATACACAGGTAAATAATACCCCAGGGTTACCAGCTATTGTGGACATTGTCCGGTCCCATTGCACAAAACTTACCATTGATGGTAGCTACCATGGAAACCTTGATTTTGATTGGCTGTTAAGCCCTGTTACCATGGTAGTTACCATTGATGGCAAAGCTACCATCGATGGTCACTGGCAGAAGGGTCTTAGCAAGGAGGAGGAGTAGGCACGATGGCTCAGGGGTAGAGCAGTGGTCTCGTAACCGGGAGGTCCTGGGTTCAAAACCAGGCAGATGCGCTTGTGCTCTTTGATAAGGTATTGATACTCATTACCAAGTCCCTCGGAGAGGACTTAAAGCCAATGGTCCCCTGGTTGCTTACTTACAAGCGTACACATGCTTTCTTAGCAGTCGGGTAAAACAAACAAATATACAAGCAGATGCACATGCCATATCACAACTCTCTTGTAACTCGCTTCCAAAGGTTTGATTGCTCTACACATGTTACCATTCATTCATTGATGCTATGTCAGAAAGATCTGAGTAATTTGTAATGTAAATTATCACAAAAACCTGGTGCCAGCTATTGATACCAGAATTGAATAGCCAAGCTTCCCTATTAATTGATATCATATTTTGGAGTACCACACATACTGAATTAAATTTGCAATTTTATGTAGTCATACTATGCCAGGGTGTGCTACGCTGTGGCCAATTGACATAGAACTTAATGTCAGCAGTTTAAGAAACAAATGATGATATAAAAGCCCACTATCATAATAAGTAATTGAAAAAAAAAATTATGGGCAATCGGCCTATAAAATTAATCATCATCATGTATCCCGAAAGCGTAAAATGAGTAAATCTGCATTTTAGGGTTAAGGCATTGACAATGGAAAGTGTTACCAAAAAGAAGCGAACTAGGTAATAGCAGTAAGGCAGAGTTGTTCTGTAGATAAGTGGGCACTTCACAATGCAGAGATAATGGGTTTAATCCCCAATTACTCCTTTATGCTATTAAGAAAATAGATAGTCCATAGTATTGATTTGCCAGAGTTGAATGGCCAAGCTTTCCTTATACATTGATGCCATGTAATACCACGCAAATTGAATAGGCCATTAACGTGATGTAAGTGAATTTATTTGCCGGGCATTAGCAACTCAAAATTCTATCTTTCACTTTAAACCAATCAGATTTGCATATTTAGGACCAGATCATCAGCCATCGTATTCTAAAAGCTAATAAGCTTTTTATGTAAACTATGTATGTTAATTGACATCACAAATTAGAATTGCATAGGATCGTTACTTGCTGTTCGTGCTCACATACACTTTCACAGTCAGCCTTGCATAGAATTGAACCAATTACTTGTCCTAACTTCTTAAAGTCAGTTGTGACAATATCCATATGTTCTCTAATGGAAAACATAACATAGTTTTCAGAACTCTTCCCCCCCCCCCCCCCCCCCATTTTGTTAAAATTATGGAACTTTTTATTTGCTTGGGATATGCATAGAATAGTTTCTTTGTGTGCCTTTGGAAAGTGAAGCTATGACGTACAGTTGTAAACAATGAAATTACTTCAGGTATTTTGGAGATGGTGCCTCTGAATGTATATATTTCTCATATGTCACTACACACTGGTTGATTTTATCAGTTATTTTGGGTGCTTATAATTGTGGCGCCTACAAAAAGTACAAAATGTGAAACTAATCAAATCCTATTAAATTACTGTGGGAAAGAGTAAGTTTTAAGGGTTGTTTTGCAAATTTTGGTGCAGCTATTGATATTTTATTTTAATGCCAGATAAGGATTATTTGTCTTTTGGACCATTGTGGGTTTGCAAATTCTCCTCTTTTGTCATGATTTGTGCTGTATAATTTGTAGGACGTTTCATTGAATAGAGCCGTCTGTCTGCCGAACTAATCAAAATACATGCATAAGAGTTTTATTATTGTAATTCAGAATTAGATGACAATTCAAAGTGTCATTAAAAATGCATCTTAATCTCTCCACTTTAATTACCAACAAGGGGGATGTAACTTGGAAAACATATAACCACATTTCTATTTGCCTTTTATGTTGGGCATGTATACTTACTTCTATTCATGTTGGGATGTAAAGAAGGCGTCTTGAATTGATAGTGAATGGAACATAAAGAACGGCTCCACACTGAGAGTTAATTGTAGAGCTACTTCAAAAAAATGGCGCTGTAGACAAACAACAATGCTAGGATTAACCAGTATTGTAGCCCCCGTTTGACCTGTATACAAGAGAGATTTGTAGCGTCTGATTCTCCTTTAGCATAGAAAGAATGAGAAATGGAAGTCAGGATAATAAGATCTATACCATGCAACTTATATGATAAGAGACGTAATAGGCAGGGATCTTAGTGGCAATTTATCATGATTATTTGTGGATTTGTATTTCATTTGGATGGGATGGCAAAGCATTTAAGACATAACTTTTGGGACCGTTTACTTGTAGTAGCTGCATTGAAACTTGTAGAGCATGAATTAATCAAAGCTGTGTACATTTAGGAGACAATTTGATGGAGAGTTCAGGAGAAGTCAATTCTTTTGATAATTGTTTTTGTACGTTTGCTTGTTACATAGAAATTATATGATACTTTATTGCTTTTATGCCAGTTAATGATTTGATTTACTTGTCAAAAAATACATTATGCTCTGTTTTGTTATTAAATAAAATGTCAATGCTTAGATATTAGAGAGATAAATGGCAATGGTATATGTCTCTCTCTCTCTCTCTCTCTCTTTCTCTGTGGACAATATTAAATTATATACCTGTAAGCATAGGTTTTGCGTCTTTTGGCCACCTCTTGGCATTCTATATATGAATGTTAAAAATGCTTTCGAGTTTAACTCTTTATTTTTCAAACCACTGAATACTTTCTAATTATTAAGAAGCATGACTGTAATAACAATTAATTAAATATAAACTACACAGTGTACTATGTAATTGTGTATAAAATTATTATAAAGGAGCCTCAACTCATGAAGCCTGAGAAACAACTTCACGTGCATGAAATTCAAAACATAATTATTTTGAATTGAATCAATGAATGGTATTTAGAAAACCAAAGTAATTTATTCTCTGTCTTTTTCTTCTTGCTCCAGGTGCGAATGTTGAAGCAGAGGATCGCACTATTAGAGGAGGAGAATCATGCTTCCAGACCGCCGCATAATGAGACGTCGTTATGAGAAACTCCGACCCTGCCCGTGACCCTAATCAGACTCGTGAGATACCATGGCAGTCTGTGTGGAGCATTCAGCGGAAATAGACTCTTAAATGTAAACCAGTATGGAGTTTGAGGAGAGAAATCGTAGGAATTATGACCAAGCCTGGAGAAAACTTTTATGTGAGCCGCGGATTTTTCATTTCAGCGTATTAAGTGGAGCCGTCCCCGAGTTGGAGAGATGCATAAAGAATGGCTGTCAAAAGATGCTTGCTGGCAGACTCTTAATGCATTCAGACATGATGATGATGAACTTTATATTGTTAACGTGGCTTATGATTAAACCTTCTTTGAATCACTATTTATTTCATGCAATTTTGTTTCGTATGTAAAAGAGAAATTATGTAAGAGCTGTATTACAACAAAGATTATGTTTTCACTTTGATTTTATACAGTAAACTGTTCCCAATCTTCCTCCAACCAATTCATTCTCTCAGTCATGCTTTTAGTTAGAAGGAAGTAAAACTGTAATGACACTGGCATTTTATTCAGATGAAAAATGGACAAAGGAAGGCAGCATCCTCTTTTAAACCACAGAATCATACCTTCTTTTTTTTGCTGGATAATTTCCAGCCTTCTTTTCCATTAATTTAGAATAGGGGAAGATTGATGTTAATGATAAGGAAAATATCTTATCCCTTATAATCATCTTTTTTGTTTGTTTGGGGGGGCGGGGGCAGACATTTATTGATCTAGATTGGTAGAATATGTGTGATAATGTTTACTGTTTAACAAGTCATTTGATTGCATTACATAACAATGTAAAGTACTGAATGCTAATTTTAAAGTAAGAAATGTACATGATGCCTTATGGCCTTGCCTTTTAATTTCTTTCTTTTTTAAAGTACAGGCATTTGTGAACAAGCTCATTTAATCAGATATATGTGAAAGTCATGTTGAAATTGTCTTTATTTTAATTTTTTATTTAAAATTTGTGATTTTCATAATCTGGAATAACTCAGTTTTCAGTTTTTGAAAAGATATGAGATAAATAGTCCTATACAGTTTTGCTCATTCTATTCTTTCATTTTTCACCTCTCTACTTTGCTTTCTTACTCTACATCTTATTTCCCTTTCTATTGGCCATTTTGCATGGATTGTACGATCCAAGATGTGCTGCCAGTAGATATTGATCACTTTCGTTAAAAAATATTTATTACGTTTACTGATACTTCTGTATCTTGCTTTGATCTTGCCCTTTTCCCTATTGTTTCAACAAATGGAAACATTTAATTTTGATCCCTCGTAATAATGACTGTTAATTTGTGAGAGGGGGATTCTTCTTTAAGTTGTACTGATTTTTAGTAAGACCATAGTTGTATAAGTAAACCTGTTAGTTAAACTTCCTGTTTCTCCCACAGGTGCAGGCGTCAGAAATTGTGGAACAAAACTGAATTCATGCACTTCTTTTGTTATGACCCTATCTATTTCATAATCCATCAAATCAAGAATGGTTTGGAGGCTCCCAAATATGACAAATAAAATTGTTACAATGCTGATTAGACTTACATGTAGATGGTCTTTACTCTTTACTTAGTGACATCCAATTTTCCTCACATCTTCCTTCTCTTTTTGTTACTATGATAACAAGTGTCCATAACATTGAAGTCTTCCTGAACATTTTATTCAAATGTCACAGTTTCGTTACTTTGCTTTCGATTTATATCAATTATTCAAAAATGTTTCCTTTATGGTTTGACTTTTGCATTTTATGTATTATCATTTTATGTATTTTCATTTCTCAAATGTCACCTTGATTTTAAGCAAATTAATTCAAATCTTGCAAGTCCCATGAAATTGTTTGTTTCAGCCAGTGAGGTGTGGGAGGGATTAATTTAAAGATGACGTTACTTTTGTACACTTAGCTAAAACAGAATTAATCATGGCAATCTAGTATCATTTTATTGTTTTTGTATACATTTAGACAAACAGTATTCCAATGCTGTTTTTGACTTAGTTGAACAATGTGCTAGAATGTAATTGCGAGTTGTATATTTACCATAATCATCAAAACCAACATCGTTTGTAAAGTAGTACATTCATTTGATGTACAGTGGTGTTGGTGAACGCATTGGGGGCACCAGCCCCCCCCCCCCCCCAAACAACAACAGTTTTCACCAAACTTGCATAAGGAAAGAGAGAGAGAGAGAGAGATGAGATGGAAAAGGAGTAAGACGACTAGAGATTGGTCACTTAACTTGATCTCATTTCATCTACCTATTAAAACCAGTGCCCCCACAATGACTTGACCTAGACTAGTCTTCATACAAGGGCTCCACATTTTGGGGAAGGGTTTCTAAACATTTCAGAATTTGGAGGTTCCGTACTTAGATTTGGGCGCCCAAGTGTCCTGGGCGCATGTTATTGTTCATGACTTACTGTATTCTGTAGTAATAAAGTTATCATTTTTGAATTTTCTCTCCATTGCATTATTCATATTCGGTATTTTTGATTTCTTTTTAATCAAACCACAACACTTTACAACCTTTATGTATTGTTTGAACATTTCATTATGCACAATTTGCCTTTTTGTGTTCTTTTCCATGTGCCAAGGAGCATTTCATTTTCTTTCTTTCTTTTAACAAACCCATTTATTGCTCTTCCAACACTTTGTAATATTATCATATTTTGTAAAAGTTGGTAATATTATCATACTTTGTAAAAGTTGGTTTAAAATTTGTATAGGAGAGAAATGTTGGGAAAGGTCTATGTTCAGTAAAAATGTTCATGTTAAGGGAAAACACTGTTTTAATTGTTTTCATTTAGAAGTGCAAGGGGTAGAAAACACTTTGAAGTTGATTTTCACTCTCTCTCGTAAACACACGTTTGTAGACTGATATGTCATGGTTCAGTCTCATTGATAATTTTAAATGTCTTTCATTGTTCCATTTTTAGAGACCATAACCGACTCAAAGCAAAGTTCTTATGTCATTGTTTGTGATTGCATGGTAATTTATTGTAATTGAAAGCTATCTGCTTTGAGCAAACTAGTTTACTGTAAGAGCAGAAATATGTAATTATAAACCCTAAATTAAGTATGTAATTGTTTATGTGTAAATATATACATAGCTAATCAACATAAAAATTATATATATATATTGTTATCCTGCATGTTTTATGTAGGTATCTTGTTTTGTTTGTTGTTTGTTTGCATGACTGTTACAATACATAAATAACTATTATCAGTGGCAAAACTTCAATGTATGCAAAACAGACAATGATGAAAGAAAATAAAAGAGAAAATTATTTTATACTCATATCTATAAAATAAACTGTTGTACTGTTTGTTCTTATATTCTTTGATGAAGAAAGATGATGAGTTTAAACAGATATCGGAGAGGAGTAATGATGGTGTGAGATACATCAAATAAAGAACAAGATGTTTGGAAACTGACATTGTTTAACGGAGGTCCAGAGGACTGAAAGGGGGAGAGAGAGAAGGGTGTATTTTTCTTTGTCTCTGGGCGAACAGGTATTTAAATCCTTTAAAAATTCAGAAGATAATTTGGTGTCTCACAAATTGCTGGTTCGTTCATGCATGAAATATAAGTTATGTCCGATGCTTGATATGCTGCTGCTTCTTCTTCATTTTCCGAGGGGAAGGGGCTCTAACAAAAAAGGACACTTTCTGTATTTAAAAGAAGGAGGGGGGCACCTACAAAGGGAAACCTCAAAACGAACATATATCATTTTAAAACATTGGTATATATCCCTTCATTGTCATGATTGTGATTACATTATTAAGGATGATATCAATATTTGTTTCTCTCTTTACATGGTCCAAGATATTGCTTAACATCATACTTTGCAGTTGGATGTGATGGGTTTTTAAGATTTCTGAGGTGACAGTGCGAAATATTACATCCTGATGAATCTTGAAAGACTGAAAAGACCTTTTATAAGTAACATTACTATATCAATTATAAATACGAGCAAGCTTTGAGGGAAATTTTTTAAAAAGAGCACTTCTGAGAATGGCACTTATTCAAAGAAAATAGGGTACTTATTAGAAAGGGAAAGGGGCTTATTTCAAAATAACAGGGGCTCTTATCAGAGGTTAAAAGGGGCAGTTAAGAGAACAGGAAGGGGTTCTTAATTATTAAAAAGGTAAAGTGCCACTCATCAGAAGGTAAAAGGTCACTTACTCAAATGGAAAAGGGGCACATGTCAAAGAAAAAAGTGTAATCATTAGAGGTGAAAAGGGGCATTTCTCACACCTTAAAAAGAGGCACTCACAGAGATGAGAAAGGACACTCATAAGAATGGAAAAGGGACACTTATAAAGGGGAGGGGGCATTTGATGAAAGGAAAAGGGCACCTATCATATTTTGATAAGGGCATTTTTTACATCTACATGTATGTTCTGTATATACAGTATTATGGTTGATATTCGTTATGTATATCTTATTATGAAATATTGTATGATATTCATTGGAACATGTGTTCAAATATGTTATCTTGAGATTGATTTTCAATAAATGGCCTGTTGGAGGGTCCAAAAAATGGAAAAAAAAAAAGAAAAAAAAATTTTAGGGGTGAAAAGGGAAAATTTATGGAAAGGGAAAGGGGCATTTAATGTAGTTGAAAAAGAACTGTCAGAAGGGGAAGGGGCAATTATTACATAGAAAAAGGGGCACTTGTCAAAGTAAACCATATGTGCCTCTCAGATCTGAATAAGGGCAATTATCAGAGGTGAAGGGGGCACTTATTAGAGGTGGTATATGGCACTTCTCGAACCTGAAAAGGGGCACTTACTAGAAATAAAAAGGGCACTCATTGATGGGAAAGGGGCACTCATTGATGGAAAAGGGACACTTATTGTAAAGCAAAAGGGGCACTTATCAGATGTTAATAGAGGTATTTATCAGAGGTGAAAAGAGGCATTGAAGGAAAAATAATTGGGGGCACTTATTAAAAGGAAAAGGGGCATTTATCGGAACGGAAACAGGGCATGTGTCAAAATAGAGGGAGCACTTACTAGAAGGGATGAGGCACGTCTTACAAAGGAAAATGGGCACTTTTCAAATAAATGGGGGCACTTTTCCTTGTAAAAAGGGCACTTTTGGGGTACCTGTACAAAATTCTCAAATCCAATATCTTTGGGCGTGTAATATTGCACACATGCCCTTTGTTATATGGAAACTTTGTGGATGAGCTCCTGCTGTGGGTTCTATTTCCACCCCAAGAAAATTCTGGATATTTGAATCCCCTGATTTTTTTATGATGGATATTCACATTAAGGGGGTTAAAAAACATCAATTTTCAAGAAAAGGGGATTTTCAAAATCCTGCTGTACGCGTTTAGGGGTATTTTTCTAAATCCTGACTCCGATGGTCGGGAAGTTGGGGGCTGGTGTCAAGTTGACATAGGGTAAATTTGTAAGTGTTCCTCAAGTATTATACATTTATATTACGTTTTGCCCATTTTACATTTTGTAGGCCTACTTTTTGTAAACCCTTTACTTTATATAAAATCGATCAAACTTGAAATTTCATTTTTTTTTTCTTCAAAGAAAGGACATGATGGCTGTGCATTAAACCCATTTGGAAGTGTACAGGTTGATGTTGTTGCTTCTCTATCGAAATAATTTTTTACATTGGGAATTTTAGATCAAAAGTGCAATTTGATTTATATTACATAGTCAACCCTGTCGCACTTCAAAATGCTCAAGGGGTTACAATTTTATAATACTTTTTTATGAGTACACTTTTGTGCAATTCGGGGAAAAAACACGCAAAAAGTTCTTATTTAGGGTGTATTTATCTCCCTGGAACAAATCCTCGTTTAGGAGGTGTCTGGAAAACCAGGGATATGTGAGTTAAACTCACATATCCCTGGGACAACTGATGGCTCGCACTCTTACTGTATTTCTACAACTGAGGCCCCTGGGCTGGAGTCCTCTTCAGAGGCTCGGAAGTGCCGATGGGATTTCAAATAATGATTTCTGAGAAGAGGGGAAAATATAGCAGGCCCTATAGTTTGCAGGCAATCAGTCGGGTAGCCCTTTAATAATATTACTGCATATTTCCAGTGTGACATATTTTACCCACTTTTTGACAATCTATCATCTCATTAATTATTCCCGGGGACTAGCCTATACTGTTTTAATTGGAGGTACAACCCAAATGGCAGTTCATAATCTCGAATTGATCTTTATTTAAATTTCCCCCTTTTTTTTCTTTCTCTATATCAGAAGCGTTTTGCTCAAGTTAAAACTTTCTAAAAACACGTCAATCTGAGTATTTTTTCAAGCTTCGGAGGCTAATCCAGGATAAGGGCACAAGCAAAAGTCATTAAAAAAAAGTATACAAAGGATCGATGAACCAGGGGTAATCATTTTGTACCCTAAACCAGGGGCCCGACAGCGTGCCAGCGCCAGGGTAGGCCTACCATTTACCAAGTATCTGTAGATATAAAAGTGCTTTTATGTTGTGAGACATGCTCCCTCTCGTGCTAGCTTCATTGTCATACACACAGACTGTATGTTGCACGTTAATGCGTTGTGTGCTTTTACATACACACAACTCAAATTATATGCAGCGAGAATTCATGTTGTGAATGTGCACTCAAGTCATACACTCTAGATATCGCCTCTAATGTGATCTCTATGCATAGCTAGCTATACTATGCGAGATCGAGAGCGAGTAGAACGTATATCCACGCGTTGTACGAGAATTTTGAGAAACATGCCTTGTAAAATAAGCGGAGAAAATTGCATAAATCATCATTATGGAACAACATAGCCTCGATTTGTGCTTTGCAATAGCCATAATATATTGTTTGCAGTGCTGTTTTGGTAAGACACTTAGCTGTTTGGATAAGTTATTAGATCTACCGCTAGCCTACGACCTAACTTTCGCAAGTTTGATCATGCGTTGATGTGTGCCTCGCTGTATGTAGCCGCGAATATGTTTACGCAGCTCAGCTCGGTCACGGAGCTCGCGGAGCGGAGCTGAGTTGAGCTGAGCTGTTCAGGAGGAGATGGCCAGGGCTGGGATTGGGAAGGGGATAAAAGGTTAATCAAAATGTGTGCTAATTAAAAAATTGTCCATCTAGACCCTACTCGTACTCGAGTATTAACTGATTTAGAATGATGTAAACAAAACCTTAAAACTAGTAAAACGGTAGTGGCGCTGGTCCGAGAATAAGGATCGTCCGCATAAACGAGGATCGTCTTCCTAAACGTGGACAGACGCATTCTAAAAAATAAGGATCATTCACATTTTTGCAGATTTTATTTCTTATCCGTGTGTTATGCAAAATTGGATTGCGCGATATCGATGCTCCTTGAGGCTTGACCTTGATGAGTGATGCTTTGACTTTGTACAGAGACTTGCAGTGCACGTTAATCGTTATGAGCAATAAATCCTTGGGAAGACGGGCGGGACAACTGATAAATGTAGATGGTGAACTAGGGGTATTTCATCACGCGTAATTTTCGCATCGCCAGTGCGCAGATCGAGAACCCTACACCTGCAGAGCGTCTAAGAAAAAAAGCGGCAGCGAAAATCAAACGATCCTTATTTTGGGGGACGTGATTCGTCCGTGTAGGGTATCTGAATTGATTTTTCAATTCTCCCTTTGGGATCGTTTTTCACTATAAAGGTTGGATAATCGAAAATAACATTGAATCAGAATAATACAATTTACATTTCAAATTTCAAGACTCACCGATCTATCAGAAGATACAGCCCCTCAAAATCTATTCTAGGCAATATTCATCCCATTTTTGTCAGAATTGACGAAAATGCTTACAAGCAGAGTTATTTTGTTTTGCTAAATTTAGCAAAACGTCAGCATTGCGCAATATGCAAGCGTACGTGTGCAAGCATACGTGTGTTGCTTAGCTGCGTGCGCTATTTGAGCGCGATTGCAACCAATAATACACAAACACTCACGCTGTCACATGGGGTCTGAATTGCATGTGCAGATTCTACGCGCCTTGCCCATGGGTTTTGGCTGAGCGGTGCCCACGCCTCCCTTCTTAGCTGATCCGAAAAATGGGGGGAACGTTATTTTCAAACTGTAATAACTTGTGATCCTTTGGGGCTAGCAAAAAAAAAAGCGCATGGATTGGTTCCTTATGACTGGGACTACTAATCGATCGCGGCGTCATTTCTAACATTTAAATCACCGTTTTGACCGAGATGACACCCCTTTGGAAACCTGCTCTTTCATATGACACCTCATTTTTTGAGTGTCTCCTTTGGGATCACAATTTTGCATGATTACTTACTTACTTTGGTTTACTTTGGTGTCGAGGCTTGAAGCACGTAGACTGCATAGGAATGCATGCAATCTCAATGGGAAGGATGAAACAATTCAAGCAGTGGTATTGGTCCTATTTTGGGGGAATCTGAAAAAGTAGCCATTCAAATTTGAACTTACAATGTTCATTGACTCCTCTGGGCATCCGGTCAACCACTTGAAATCATAATTTGAAGATGTCTTTGATAGGTAAAAGGTGATTCCTTCTCCTAAACCAATTCATCCGTGTTGTCTATCGTCGATTCACATCATTCGCATGATTCACTTTATACCTCTTGCTTCTTTTAAAAGTGGATATTTACTTACAAGTTTCAATACTCATCGCTGTTGCAAAGCAAATTCAGACTCGTCACGGAAGGTATTGACAGTATAGCATTAGCTGTGAATGTGATTAAGGCTGTGCACAACAGTGTAATGAGGTACCCGAGTACACTCCCAGGCTTACAAGCGAATATTTGGACGCCATGTTTTTTTATAATTTTTTTGAATTTTTGGGGATTTTTGGGGATTTTTTTTTGTTGATTTTTGTTTGCCACCACTGTACCACTGGCGCAGTATCCCAGGTCTGTCGCCGAAAACGCATGCAATTTTACCTCGAGTTGCAGTTGAAGGCGCCGATTTAATAATAATAATAGCAGTAAACAATGCTGTTTTTTTTTAAACCAAAGATGGCAAAATAATCCATTTTCCTCCAAGTCCAAACAGAAATCCAGACATTTGGTCCCAGTTTCTGAGTGGTGAGTTTGACAGTGCTTGAGTTAGGAAACATTTTTACCGACGGCACCATGCCAGTGGCCGCCGCTCACCCAGGCACGGGTAAGCGTCGGCCTGGACAGATTTTTTATTTTTATTTTTTTTTTTGCGGCCGAATATTCGGGTACGATTTCTCGTACCCGAGTAGTTGTCAACCGTGCGGGTACTCGAGCATTCGACTACATGTCGCAGCCCTAATACATTCTAAAACAAACTTGAAAGCTTGAAGTGAAGTTTATCATGCCTGATGAGTGTGGATACAGGGCTACACCCTACACCGATCGATCAGATCGATAAGCTTTACTTCAACAAAAAATACCACAAAAGTCTTCAAGACTACACCACAACGAAATTACTGTTAAACAAAACTTTGCTTTGACAAACAATACTACAGATTTTAATAATACCTCACAAAAACAATGACATATGAGGAACTATGCTCATTCAATCTCGAGTTCAGCTAGCCACCATTTCGATACGAGACATTTTCTTGCAGTAGACTAGATGGCGCAGCCGGCGAATTTTTCCTCTCTGCTGCCATCTACAGTCTACTGCTGCCTGCAGGAAAATGATGGCTAGCTGGAATTCAATATCGAGCTTCTGAAATATAAAGTATTGTTTTACAGTGATTTTGTTGTGTTGCAGTCTCTTGAATTCTAATGTGGTATTTTAGTGGGTTTAAAACTTTAATCTTATTGATCCGATCAATTTGGACCTTCCTCTGCATGTATGACTGTGTATCCACGAACATCAAGCATGCTAAACTTGACTCCCTCCCTGAGCTTGGCTGGATACATCCATATCCATGTTGTTCCAAGTACTTTCATTTATTTTCTTTCATCAAAATATGTTGGGTCATCCATTATTTTGTGGATATTTTGACAATTAACGCCTATAAGGCCTACAGTATATTTTAGTTTTAGTTGTCTGATCAACATTTTGGTATTGTATATGCTATGTGTTGATTAGGGCTGCGACGAGTAGTCGAATGCTCGAGTACCTGCATGGTTGACAACTACTCGGGTACGAGAAATCGTACCCGAATATTCGGCTGCAAAAAAAAAAAAAATCTGTACAGGCCGACGCTTACCCGTGCCTGGGTGAGCGGCGGCCGCTGGCATGGTGCCGTCGGTAAAAATGTTTCCCAACTCAAGCACTGTCAAACTCACCACTCAGAAACTGAGACCAATTGTCTGGATTTCTGTTTGGACTTGGAGGAAAATGGATTATTCTGCCATCTTTGGTTTTTAAAACAGCATTGTTTACTGCTATTATTATTATTAAATCGGCGCCTTCAACTGCAACTCGAGGTAAAATTGCATGCGTTTTCGGCCTGGGATACTGCTCCAGTGGTTTGTATGGTGGTGGCAAAATGTTTTTTTCTTTAAATTCCAAAAAATTCCAAAAAATTATAAAAAAACATGGCGTCCGAATATTCGCTTGTAAGCCTGGGTGTGTACTCGGGTACCTCATTACACTGTTGTGCACATTAGGTTTCTGCATGTTAAAGGTATCACAAAGCTTGCTTTCTCCCTATAAACAAAAACAACTAGTAGCTGTCACTGTAAATTATTCAATTTTCTTCCGAAAAAATTACGTATCCCAGAGAACTACAACTATACTCCTGTCTCTGCCCCAAATTTTCAAGTTAAACCCAGGTTCTGCAAAATCTGTTATGACTCGGACCTTATAGTTATACTTTTACACCAGATTTTGACATTTAGAGGCATGATTTTTAGCTTTAAACAACACCAAACATGGATGAAAATAGTGTCAAATGGGAGTATATCGACCTGAGCCAAGGTACACAGTAATGCATACATGTACATGTGTTGATTTATTAAATTGCTACAAAACGTCAGATGTTAAAGGGACTATGTCCCATTTGCAGGCCAAACAAATGAAAAAGTTAAATTCCAACTGCATTTGAAAGATAATACTAATTTAGAACTACCCTAAAAAAGGTGGGGCTTGAAAATGTCTTCAAGTGGGAAAATAACGACTATTAGTTAATCGACTTTAGGGCTATAGAGCCCAAAAGTAATAGTCTTGATATTCAGACAATTGTACCGAATGGTCATATGTTTTATGCTGCGCAAAGATTCAATCAGTTTAATCTTGGCCATCACAAGAAGTGGGTTATTGATGTAGACAAATACTCATGTACCCTTTACAACTCTTTTCATGTATGTTATTACCAAAGAAGAAAAAAAGCCAGTCAGTCATTCAATAGTGTCTGACAGTGAAGTCTAGCAAGTAAACGGTTTTCCTTGCATAATTTGAATATGAGGACTCTGCTAACGTTTAAATTTCACAAATAGGACATACATGACATATTCATAATTCCTGCAAAGTTCTACAGCATTTGAGGTTGGCTGCAAAAGGGACATAGTACCTTTAAATAGAAAAACAAATGCTTTTTGCCTGCAATGTGAATGCCTCTTATGTTTGTACTTTAAATATGGAGTAGTCATAAAAAGATTTTGTCAAGTTCATTTACAAGAAATATAAATCATGTCATAGAATATACATGTGGCATACATGTACAATAGTACCTTCCTCAGTAGGTATATTTATATCACATGCATATACAATGGATTTGTGCTCAAGTGATTCCTTGATGCTGTTTTTGTGTTTGTATGCACTGAGGAGGTCATGCTGGATGACTTTTGAACTCAAGGAGACACTCCAGGGAGAGCTAGAATGGGGCCCATGCCTTGCGCCTGATTACATGCAGAAGGCATGAGATGTCTGGTAGAAGGACAGACAAAATGCACCAAAACAAAAATACATTTCACCTTATGAGGCAAGAAATGTTGTTTTCCTGATGTAGAATTGTAAATCCACAGGTTTTCTACAGTTATACAGTGATATTTTCCCCTGACTCTGTGTGTTCTTTCCTATGGAAATTGAAAGCTACATGTTTGTGTAGTGTAATGCAGTACACATTATAGAATATAGTGTAGGTGTATGAAGATTTGCAGCAGGTGGGTCTCACTTTTGAGTGCTCTCTAGTCATAGATTGCACTGCATCGTAAAATATTACAATATGAATTGATATTAGTTCATTTTTAAAAAGATATTTTTTTGTTCAAGTTAAATGAGTTCAACTTGCATTTCAATGTATTACTATTATTATTATTATTGAAAAGACTATGATGTCCAATTGTTTATTTATCTGATGTCATAGGATCAATGTTTTGAAGCACTTTTCTTTTTAAAGGTAAGCTTCTACATACATGTGTATTTAGCAATACTGCCCATTCTTTATGTGGCATGCAATTGAGAGAGAGAGAGAGAGAGAGAGAGAGAGAACTCAAAGACCCCCCCCCCCCCCCCCCCAGGAAAAAAAGAGAACAAGAAGAGAAAAGAACCTTATTTTCCCCAAAGCTTGCTATGCAGAAAAGGATGCCCTTTTGCATACCGGTAGTGTCTGGTGAATGATGAATCCTGACAGAAGTACAAGCTTAGTTTTTGCCAATGCCAACTAGAAATGGAATATCTCTAAAAATATTTCAGAAATTGCAGTTTAAGTCACACCATTGAATAGTTGTCCTATTCTGAGTGATGTGACAACTAGACTATTCCAAAAGAAGTATATACTGCTGAATTGTCCAATGTAAACACGTGATGAGTACACTGAGGAAACATGGCAAATTGTATTCATTTCCTAGATTCACTCATAAGATGTCCAATACCCCTTCCAGAAACCCATGCTCCTATTATGCTCACCAAAATAATGTGCATCAAGCAATAATAACCGTGTTCAAAAACTCATCAAAAAGTGCATAATACTGTAGGAGCATTATTGTTACGAGCACCCATTCAGAAATACTGCATTGCATGCTACATTGCATGCTACATTGCAAGGGATCTGTGGTGGAATGCTGGGCAGCCAAGTTCCTGGTCTAGGCCCCTGTGTGGGAAAGCAAATGTCATTTGACCGATATCGGGGTGGGATGATGCTAGGCCCCCGTTATTGCATTCATAAACTTAGCATTTGCTGAAAAATGTGGGTATCATGACTTCATGAGCACAGTAACACCACTTCAATAATGCAGTGTTGTTAAATTTAATGGAGTTTTTCATCGTCCTTCAGATTATTTTCGCCATATGATGATGATGATGAGAGCTTTATATATGAGGTCCTATTTAATGCTCCTACTGTATGTATGTGCTCTTTGGGGTGTATGAAAGGGTTATGATACATAAAATTGTATAGATGGGACTTCTTTATCAGAAATTGGGTAGGAAAGCGCAGGTTTATTCCTACATGTAGCAAAAGTTTATAGGTCATTGTCAGAGTACGTTGTTAGCGCCCAGTCAGACCACCCAATCAGATATATTTATTTATATAAACCGTACGGTGCAGTAAATGGACACCATTCATACTCTCCAGATACTATGTCCCTGTAGCCACTAAAATAGAACATTACCTGAAGGAGAAGGAGGATGAGGAGGAGAGAGAAACAGGAGGAGGAGGAGAAGAGGGAGGGAGGGAGGGTCGGTCGCCTGTACCAAATTTAAGCATGGCACAAATGCATGTTACCATGGGAGGTTGCACTAACTACATTTTGTAGTTACAACGTCAAAGTTCATGGAGATTTCTAATTTGGTACCAGTTTACAGCAGTTATCACAAAGTAGATAATGATTCTTTCACATAACATGTATTTTTATATTACATATTATAAAGTCAGAGGATAGTTTTTATGCATTGTTGAATTGAACAGTTGCATCTTCCACCCCTTGAAATAGTTAACCATTTTACTGTGAACATTAAATATTTATATATGGGTGGTTTCATGGGGTTAGGGTAATTTTTGTGACATACAAGAAGTTAGAAACTATGTCTCTTATCAACCACAACAATGTTTGCTCAAATTGATTTTAGCATGGATAGCACAGCCATCTATGTTTACAAGTACTCTAGCTTCATGTTGAATCAATATTATAGACTCAAAGTATATGAAATGTTATCAATGTGATGCCCATGTAATGCTAGTAATAAATAAAAGAAATGCATACCTGCATGTATTAAACAAAGCTGGCAGGGCACCACGGTATATATTTATTGCATACAAATCTTGATTTAATCTTCCATATGTAGAAGAAGATCTTGTTTAAACGTTACATGAATGTCATCATATTTTTTGCCCCAACCCCATGGACTTACCCAAATTGAACTTCCCTTGAGGAAAAAGTGAAAATGGTCCACAAGTAGTGGCAATAGTTCCTTTTTGTCCAAAGATAACTAAGTTTGTTGAGGTTGAAGTATGTTGGGTGTTTTTTTAGGTTAATGCTGTTTGTTACTTTAATATTGATCCATTTCTTTGATAAGAAAGGGCAATTATCACTCTAGATTATATTAAAGGGAGTGTAGCATGACGAAACTATATATCTTTTCGTGGCCTGACTCAGGGCCAATTGGGTATAATACGACTACGGACGACACAACCGCAGCAATCACGTGCATGCAACATACGCGAAACCGAAACGTGAGGAGAACTTCAGTCTGTTTCGCAAACGCAAGTGCACATTGACCATGTAGGGATTAAGTCACTGACTACCATTAATCAAGTCCATTTGTTTACGTGCAGTTGTCCAAAAGAAGACATAGATGGCGCTAACCAGTATTTACCAAGCTACACACCCCTTTAATTTTAGAAGTTTGCTCTTGACTCTCGTACACCAGTTCCTGAGTTTAATCTGTACATACTTGCTCTGGGCATCATTGGACATACATGTAGTTTTATACCCCCATTTGACCTGTATGTATTGAATGGGCACCTGGCAATGCTGTGGTAATGATAATTGCAGAGCCTGCAGTTACTTTTATTGTTACTGTTGTTGATGGTGGTGTTTTGTTCAATTTTTTTTTAATATTAAAGGAATTTGTGCTAACATGGTATTTAAATATTCTCTTTGGTTTTTTTTCCAGGCTTTTCGGACCTTTCCTTCTTGGCTGAACCTCGGGATGGGGTAGTACCTTTGAATACGTCGCTTCTACTCCAGTGTGAAGCAGCAGGGTTAGAGCCAATCAGCTATTATTGGAAGCACAACGAGGAGCATCTCTATCAGTCTCCCAGATGGAGAGTGTTGAATGGTTCTTTAAGCATCGGAGCTGTGGACCAGACCACAACGGGTATCTACCAGTGCTGTGCTCGCAACCAAGTGGGTGCACTTTGCTCGAGAAATGCGACAGTGTCTCTCACACGTAAGTATACGACTAGATCTTTTACTCCGTATTCTACTAAATTTTATACCTAATACGCACAACCAGCCGTCCATGTATTGTTATTATTAATTAATTATAATAATTAGTTAATGGTCTTTGTATTTTTTGGAAGTGGAGCTGAATTGTTGGTTCATATTTAATTTAAATTTCCCCCTTTTGGGGGTCTAAATTACCTTCATAGCAATTAAGATTCTAAAAGGGCACTAGAAATGTCTTAAATAAGAATAAGAGCAATAACCATGCATTTTGAAGGCATTTGCGGTCTTAAACAAGAACTCAAATATCCCTTTAAAAAGTACTTATTTTCTTAAAGGTAAAGAGTTTTGGAAACGCCCCACTCTCAAAAAATGAAATGGAAACTCTTATTACCAATCATGTGAAAGAATATGTTTTGACTAATACATGCTTTTGCATAGAAACCGCCTACTAATTGATATACCTGTATTTGGTAAATTATTATATCTATTTGGACCTGATAGATATTGCACACGTGTCGCGTAGTCCCATATACATCTTTCTGTGTACAGTGCTTGTAACTTTACCAAGACTGGGCCTAATTTCTTATCATTGTGATGATTCCAGAACCTTGCAGTACACACCAATACTTATATATGCTAGATGATCAACCTTTTCTGATCGATTCCACAACGTTTCTTTCACAATGCAATCGCATGACATTAACTGGTCTTTATCTTCAAGGTTCGCAGTAATCTGTAGAGGTATAATTTACCTTTTTATTTCAAATTTCAAATGAACCTTCTCTTTAATGTGGCTGTTATGCATGCTAAACCTTGACACACTTCTCCAGCAGAGTCATTAGTTCAGCATGCTTTTTTTGCATTATGAATTTTATGAGGTGTAGTAAATAAACTGCATTTACAAAACAAAGTAGCTCCGTATGGCAAATTCTCATAATCGCCAAGGACTGTAATACTTTCACAATGCAATCGCATGACAATAACTGGTCTTCATCTTCAAGGTTCGCAGTAATCTGTAGAGGTATAATTTACCTTTTTTTTTCAAATTTCAAATGAACCTTCTCTTTTATGTGGCTGTTATGCATGCTAAACCTTGACACACTTCTCCAGCAGAGTCATTAGTACAGCATGCTTTTTTTTGCAATATGAATTTTATGAGGTGTAGTAAATAAACTGCATTTACAATACAAAGTAGCTCCGTATGGCAAATTCTCAGAATCGCCAGGGACTGTAATAGTAACCCAAGGCTTTTCTAATTACCTTTATGCAAAACGATTGTGCATGCTTGTGTCACATTAGGCGCATCTTTATCATCTCGAGATTGCCAAATAGCCCGCTATTTCTGATTTGGGAAATAATCCCGAAGTCACAAATCGCGTCTTCATCAGCTCGAGATTCGACTTCGAAACTTGAAACTCGACCTTGAGAATTTAGCTCGAGATATTTTGCTCAGCGTGAGGGTGAGTCTTCGGTCTGGTGAAGACGCACCAGACAAATAGCTGGATATTTTGCCAAATAGTGGGATATTTTGCCAAATAGTGGGATATTTTGCCAAATAGTGGTATATTTTGCGAACTATCCCAAGATATCTTGGGATGATAATCCCGACCAAATATCCCGCTAATTGCAACTTCGGGCTAATGAAGTCGCAAATTAGCTGGATAGTTTGCGATCGGGATAGTTCAAATAGCAGGATATTTGGCAATCTCGAGCTAGTGAAGACAGGCCTATAGATTTTTTTTTTGTGTGTGTAAATAAACTGCAGTCACAAAACACAACTTACATGTAGCTCAGTGTGGCAAATCCTCTTGAACCTATTCTCAGAATCACCAGGGACTATAATAGTAACCCAAGGCTTTTTGGATTATGCAAAAGGATTGAAGTATGTACAGGTACAACTGCAGAGGTGTATAACCTCTACTACTTGTATGTGTGCGTAAATGCATTGATCTACCCATTTTTTTGCGAGTAAATTGTCAATAGCTCTTTTGTGATGATTGTATCTTCTTTTTTTCTTTGGGGGTAGGGGGGGGGGGGTTGGGGCTCGTATGTATGAATGAAACAATTCTGGCAAGTAACATAATGGATTAATGCAAAGGAGAATGAAGATCAATGAACTCAAACACACTAGTTGTTAGTTGACGTTTGATTATAGGCTGTTTGTTTTCATTGTGATATGTCCCAAATAATTCTATCCATTTCCTATACTGAATTTAGGGCAGAGGCATCTAGAAGACACAGTCACATTTGTCTTGTTTATATCGGTATTTTCATGAGCATTTTTGAGTATGATTGACATCAACAGAATGAGAAAGCTCACAGCTTATTATTCATCTTAACCGGAACTCTGCCCTCTTTTTAACTCTCAATGCTTGACCATAAAGACTGTTAGTAGGAATTTGATTGCAGCTGCAAACATTGTCTGGGGGCAAGTTATCTCTTGGAATCAAGGGGAGATTTTACACTTACTATTGTGTACAACAGAGGAAGTAACAGGAATAGAGCTACAGTTACAGGTTCTAACCATAAGGACATCCATGAAATCCAAGGGAATCCATGAAATCCAAGGGAATATATACATTGTACAAATCAGGTTGATTCAAGGCTTTCAAGCGGATCTGGGGTGCTTTTATTGGGTATTGCCACTAGATATGTACATGGTACCCCACTATCGAACCCCACTATATGATCGTGATTTGCGGGATGTCGCGTTTATTGTCTCTTCACGATTCACAATAAAGGCCTTGTCACTGCACAGCTGCTCTGCGCTGTTTGACCCGGGAAGCAGACAGTTTCTCGGAGGTCAACTTCACACACACGCTTGTACAACAACATGACACAACAAATGGCGCGCTAGCCTCCGAACCGGAAATGAACCTGGGAGGTCCGATTTGTATGTTGGGTACAAAACAGCTTTGCGTTTATCATCTCTCAGAAATGTGATTCTGGCTGTATGTCACATTCAAAACAGACCTTTTTGCGTCTTTAGATATGCCCATATCTAAAGACCTTTAAAAAAGACTTTGCGTTTATCACCTTCTAAATTTGCCTGAAAGATGTTTGAGAAACCTGATTCTAGCCAAAAATTTGTTCAATAAATGCACCCCTGGATACACTTGTTATCTTGTACTTAAGACTCAAGGTCCCAAATCAATACATAGGAAAACGATAGGGAAAACCCCCCTATTCATATCACTTGTTTTGTTTCAAGGTATGCTGTTTATCTGACCTCTACATTGTGATGAGGCAAAGCATTTAATGCCTGTCTGGTCCAGTGTATGAGTGAATACCATTGATATTAAAAAAACAGCACTTGGTCCCATGTACATGTACATTGCCAGGGAAATGTTCAGATAAGTTCAAAAAGTGACCATGATCTTGATAATTTTTATTTTATTTTTTTTCTCTTCAAAAACACTGGAAAATCACTTTGATAGGGTTCATATTTTGTTAGTACATGTAGATTTGAAAGGATTTCAATGATGCATGACATAAAAATGTCTTCACTTTCATACTTACTGTAGGTAGCTTAGCAAAATGCAGTGGCATGAAAACACTGGTCCAGAACGCAGAGATTGTTGAAAATTGTTTTTTTTTTTCATGCAGAGGTAGAACCTCATCATTAGGCTATGGAGCTGGTATGCGCCATCTCGATGATGCTTAATGTTAGCTCAACTTTCATTTATATAAGGAAAAAACAAGAATGTTAATTATTAAACATCTCTTCCTATTATGCTTTTTGTGTTCCGAACGCATCTTTTCCTGCCATTACACTACATTTCATCACTAACCTCCCTTACATGGTCCTTACATGGTAAGTGGAATCCCTACTAAATTACCTTCCACCATTAAATTATGTATATTTGACTGTCTCTTCATAATGTAGATTACTGTATTTACATTTAACATTCATGGTGACCCAGTGTAGTACGATTACACCAACGTCCAATATCCAACAAGATCATACTACTGTACGTGATAAGGGTACACGTATACACATCACCTGTACATCTGAAGTGTCCCATTCATAAAGTATTATGATTAGAATATTTACCAATCATTGTGTACATGTACATATACTATCTTGAGTGTTGTACTTTGTATGTTTTAATAACCTTTTGTAATTTTGAATTGCATCAGATAATTTCATAGGTAAAATACGCTTCAGCAATGTCAGTCATATGGACTAGAATGATGAAAATCTTTAGCAAAAGCAGCTATGAATGATGATTTTGATCTACATTTAGGGCCCTAGATGATTGGACAGTGAAATGTATATGCTTTAAAACGCACTCATTGTTTAGATGGGTCATACGAGTCACATGACAATTGACCTTTGCTGGAAACATTTGTACATGTAGGCAGGCTTGGTCAAATGTCAAGCAGCTCAATACCAGCTAAGATGCTGCAAAGTAGGGTAAGGGAAGAAGAGGTACTATACACAGTGCCTCTTTGTATCAAATAGAATTTAAGATCATTTTGGGGAGAATTGAAAGGAAGGGGATAATGGGAGATGTTGAAAATGAGAGACAGGGAGTCAGAGAGAAAGAAAGACAGATCTTTGAATTTAATTCAAGTTGATGAAAACAGATGTGTTGTGTGGATTAGCATAGGGTAAGAGAGACAGGATCGAACAGGAAATCATTATTTAAGATAGAGGCAGATTATGGGAAGCTGAAATAGTTGCATTATATGCAGGTTTTGTACAGTACTTCTACTTCTAGTAGGTAACTTCAGTTCTCAATTTGTACTGTATCACACAAAAACAAAATATGCAGGGAGGATGTTTGTTTGTTGCACTCATTTACAGCACAGGTTTAATTCTAAAATGATGAAGATTGATGTGCCCAATTTATTGTATCCTTTTGATAACATTTTAAAGGGAATGATGATTATCTGTAATGAGAGCCCATCCTGGTGTCAGTAATACATTAGTGTAGTGCAGCAGATTCTCACATTATGATCAAAGAAATAACACTTACATTTACAGGTTTTCTTGCA